TTATGTATTCTTATAACGAAGAAGATGGCGATCTGAACGAAAAGATATAACAGCTACTATCAAAATGAAGAATGGGTAAGTAGTGAAAAGCAAGATCATGAACAGGTTTTTAACGAATATTTCACTGTGATGAATGCTGTTTGTCTATGTGTAACAGAAACTCATCATGGTAATTATATGTCAAAACAGTAGTCCTTGTTCATTTTCTTCTTTTTTCTTGTGACAAACATTCCATGATATATGATAGTGTTTTATTGATACCTACAGCATTAATTCTGTTTGTTCAACTGATGGAATATGACTAATTCGACATTGGGTTTTTCACTGCGTACGACGAATCGTGATTAATCTTGTCTATTTTTTCTGGACATGCCTATCCAGTTGAAAACTCGAAATATTCAGACGAAGAAATAATACCCCAATGTCTTGCATCTGCTTGAATACTGAAAACCATTAAAATGTCATTTTGATATCGACTAGGAAAAATAAATAGTGAGTTCAAAAACAAATTACATGTGACTAAGAGCGCGAAAGAGTATCATGTGAATATCACATTCTTACTCTTCTTTGCTCTAATTTTTCTTTTTGCTTCCATCACTTGATGCCAATGTGTGTGATATTCTCTATTGTTTTTTAATGTGAAAGAATTATATTTTTTGTCAAATTCGTGCTTTAAGTTTTGCAATTAGCTGAAAATATTTTTAACGATACTAAATCAAGGATGTGCAGATTGTTATACATAACAATATCTATTTTGTTTTGTAAAATCATCAATAATCAGAGAAGTTGAATATTACACATTGTGTTATCTTTCCGAAAAATAGTATTATTTCGAAAAAAAAAGGAACTGACTGTGTTGCTATAGACATTACTCTCATTTCACAATTGTGTTTTGCAAAATAAAAAATTTCGTTGTAAGAAGAGTTTGTACAAAAGTAAATATAATTTATACCAGTATATTGTTCATGAAAACAAAAACAGATGACATATAAACAACCACTTGATAGTGAAGTTGTTTCTTTAGTGCTTTAATAAAAACACCTATGAGAATTTTATCCAAAAACAACAATTGATATATTTTCATCTTTATTTGTTCGAACATTTGCATCATTCACATCGAAATTATAAGCATCTAGCATTGCTACACTAATACTGGTTAAATTAAATTCTATTATTATTTTATTTTCAATAATAATTAAAATGTATAGAAATACACAAAGAAAGTCATATTGACCTTTTCAGACAATCTTAATCGATATTTATCTATTGATCAATGGCGAGATATAATTCTGTTCAGTTAGTGAATCAAATGTGCTTTATCATGCTTTTCTTTCTCGCTGAACTTTCTTCAATATGTATATCTCTTTCTATCCTTTCACGCCAAATCGGTCAACAATAACAATGCAGGGATTCAATTAATAGTTCTATTAGGCGTTTGACAGAACGAAATAGACTTTTTTTCTACATCAACGAATAATATTGAATTAATACGCACTTAACACTCGACACATTGTCTTATAATACTCTTGAACTGAATGATAGATAGAACTTAAATAGCACATATGCTTCTATGTTTATTGATATCTTTGTGAATCATATGGACAAAAGATGTTAAGATTCTCATACAATCTGGAAAAAACAAACTATCCAGCTTCTAGTGTCATCTGTGATTGAACATAAATTAACCAATTCGGAAAAACAGCTGCAATGATTTGTTTGTGAAAGAATACAGATGAGAGCCAAAGAAAAGAAAAAAAACAATGAATAAATGTTAAATCTCTCTGTTCATTTTGATATATTCTTTTAAAAAGACAAATATAAATGAAACTTTCATTAGTGTTCAGACGAAACACATTATTTTATATATCTATATGTGTACTAACTGCTTTCTGTTCCAAGTTTGTTTATATGGATATGCAATTTCTATGAGTAAACATACGCAAATAGAAATTTAGTTCATTGATGTATAATCGTTTTCTGCCTTTCTAATGGATGGCGTGAGTGAAGGTTTTCCTTTCTATCTCAGCAACATGGTACTTATTTACTTGATAGATTACTCAGTGTCACTTCTTTTTTTCTGTATACAACTGAAGGACACTCTTTGAGCTCAGTTGTTCTGCGAAAAAATCAATTATTTCTTGTAAGCTAAGCCCTTATTATCATTCCACGCTGCGTGTCGACAATCAATCATTGTTCTTCTCTATTTTTTTGTCATCATTATTATACCAACGTACGCATTTGACAGTTTGCGATGATAATGACAATTTTCTCAACGACGATCTAGACAATTACATAACTATCCTTTCTTCTTACTTATGTCGTTACTTCATTTGTCAATTAGATCCGAAAACCCTTTTTTTTCTCTTATTCGTTGCAATTTGATCTTCGTTTTGGTTTGTATACAATAGAGAAAAGAAGACATGTAGAGTGGCAGTAATTTAAATCGATCGAACAGATTTAAATGAATCGACATTCAATCGATCCTCCCTGTTGTGTATGTATAAAGTTCATTTGTAAAAATAAACATAGAGCCCTGCATTTTTCAAGTGCAGACAGAAAAAATAAAATTGAACCCGTTTGTAGAGAAGAACAATTAAATAGGAGGAGACTAATCACTTGAGTACACATATATGTATTATTCTGTTTCTTGTTGTTCTATTTGTGTGTGCACGAACATTTCTTTCCGATGAATCTTGTCAATGTTGGCTCGGATGAAACATAAAGATAAGTATAAACTATTATAAAAGGACACACATTCTTTTTTATCTCCTCCTCCAACTTCTTCTCTTTTTTCGATGTAGATAAAAATTTAATCGTTCATTTCCGTCTTTGTCTATGGTTCACGAGGATAATCTTTTTTTTTACGTCATCTAACGCCGTGAAATCTGATCTGATACATAAAACAAAAAAAAATCTATTTAATCATGACATTTTATTTTATATATGTTTGTACGTTTAAATGAGAGTAATAGATAAGCTTATTACATCAATCAATCAACATTTGCACAATTGTTGATAAACCTTGTAATAAACAGAAATATTATATTCTTACGTATGACCCTGACACATGCATGTATTCTTTCTCGTTTCTTCTATGTATATATATATATAAAGACTAAGATAGAAATTATATCTTATTTTAGATGCAAATTAAATTGTGATTCGATTATGGGAAACAATTCTTCAAAATCATCAAAAAAGCCAACAAAAAAACAACATTGTTTTTTTTGTCCGTGTATAATATCAAAATCTTCATCATTATCATCACTTTCAATTGATGAAAAATGTCTACCAACATTTGATCGTATAACATCAAATGATAAATCTTCAAATACTGCTCCTCTTATTGAACCAATTCCATCAAATTCAATTCTTATTCATGATGAAGTTGATAAAAATCTTTTAACATCAAATAATCGTCGTTCATTATCCTTAAATAATGTTATTTTAACATTACCTGATACTGCAAATGAAAATGAAGAAAAAAATTCTATTCATTCAAAACCACCTTTACCACCAGGAAAATCCAAAACTGTTTCAAAATTACCACCAACAGGTCGATCATTTCGTGGTGCATTAGTTAATACAAAACGAACATATTATTCTCAATCAATTGAACATGCTCGATTATCAATTGAAGATTTAGAAAAATCTCTTCATGGTGCCTCTAGTATTGATCAATGGATTGATTCATTACCTATACTTGGTACACCATCATTAAATCGTAATAAACCAATTCGAACAGTAGTATCAACAAATAATAAAAAAATTAAACGTAGTTTAACCATAGGTGATCAGTATAATGAAAATATTCTTAATGGCTCATATAGACAAGTAAGTGAAATGAGTTTTGTTTTTCTTATCTGACAAGGGAACTCCTTCAACTGATAAATTGCCTTTGACTCGAGACGATGCACATTACGTAAACCTACATGAGCTATGAATACCTTAAAAAGAATGCATGTTCTAGCTTATTGTTATGGAGATACTGCACTTTTATGGCATTTTTTTAAATGAACATTATAATAACAGAAGAGACTGATTTTCGAATTTTGACTTGCAACTTTGAATAGAGACAGATGCTTCAGATCTTTTGATTTGCTGCACGAGATTTGTAGAAAATCTGTATTTCAGTCCTGAAGAATTTACGTTAATTGAGTGTATGTCTTAGACATAAACAACATTCTCTGAAAGTTTCGTTGATATGGCATTGATGGAAAAAAAATGACGACCAAATTCACTGAAGACGTCTTTTCGGAAGATGCTTAGCTTAAAAAAAGCAATTCTTTTTCCAAACTGAAAAATTTTATGGACTGACAGAGCAAAAGTCCTAATTTCAGGCAATATATAATCTATTGTCCAACTCTTTACATTTTTCACAATAAATGATATTTTTCTCTGAAGGTGCTGAATTTAGAAGCTGAGGCATAACAAAGAAAACGACATCCTGCTATCATGGTTTTATCTGAAGATAGGAATAGGGACAAGATCTAAAATATCAGCGTTGAAGACTTGCCTTTGTCCAAACATAATCTCCAAAAGATAAATTGCCTTAAACCTTCTATTCAGGGTTATAGACATTTTACTGGGATTTAAGCTTCTGGTGTGGTATAAATCAATTAATTGAATGATGGTATCTCGACCTGAGATTTTGTCTCCTCATAGATCTATTTCTTAATAGAATGCCTTGAAAATTTCTTCTCAAAAGAATATTTCTTTGTCGAGATATTTAAGTTCCAAAGATTACTGATATTTCATGAAAGATGCTGGAATTCTCGGATTTTGTGATTATAATATCTAGAGAACAAAATTTTTCTTAAGGTGAAATTTTCCGAATATTCCGCTGATAAATAGATTTGTCTGTAGGCAAAATTTCAGGTTGAAATAGTTTCATTTGATTTGTTGGCATAGACTAAACCAGAGGCTGAAATTGTAGTTGCATGCCCATAAATCATAATTGAAGATCTAAGACAGCTTATCGTTAAGAGATTTTTTTATATCTCTCTAGCACTTATCTTAAGCATTCAGACCGAATTCAAAAGCGATTGATCAGCTGAAAATATTCATTCGCTAATAGAAAAAATCTGAGATTTTTTTTCACTGATCTGTCTAATCAACACCTTATGTGGGCTAAGTTTAAAGTCAAAATTCAAAAGTATGGTTCCGGTTGAAATGTAGAACTCAGCAGCTTAAACTTTCCTCGAGGATTTACCTACCTTCTTCATCCTATCGATTGAATGTAGTTTCAACTTAGAAACGATTTATCAGTACGAACATTTCTCTCAATAGAGAAAAAAATTAATTGATTCTTTTTGGTTTATTTAGGAAGATGAAACATCACCAGTAGCAATAGAAAGAAATTTATCAAAAGATAATTTTCCAGATATTTTAACATTAAAATATAATCGTGAATATTTAAATTTAGCTAAAAAAATTCAATTAAATATTTATTTAAAAGATTTTCTTTCACGATTAAATAATACAAAATTAAAACAAACATTTAAAAATCATTTTTCATTATCAACAATTATTTATCCATTAGCTGGTATTGATCAAATCTTAGCTGATGATTTAAATCTTGTTCTTATTACACCATTAGAATCTATATTACCAAATTTATCATCAAATACACATAGTACATATAAAATTCATGAACAAATACGTTCAAAATCTTATTTTATACCAATAACAGATTATAAAATTGAAATTGATGATGATGAATATCAAAAGAAATCTATTGAACTTGATCGTACACATGTTGTTATAACACTTGAAAATAAAAAAAAAGAACAAGATGATATAACCATAAATACAAAAGTATCTATTGAACAAGAACCATCATGTATATTTATATCCAATGATTCATTTCATACAGGATATTTACGTATTGATCAAGAAAAACTTGCTAAACATTTTGTACCATTTGTTTATCATTCATCCGACGATAATATGCACTATTTATCATCAAATTTAATTCAACATTGGTTTAATACATTAATACTTGTTAATCAAACATGTGCTATTGCTAAACGATTCTTAACAGGTGATGGAAGTCATATTACTTGTTTGATTAAACAGCAAACAAATTATACAAAGTAAATAATCATTATCATTGTTTATAATATGACATATAGTATACGAAACCATATTACATACGGTGACAGTTCTATTAAGAAGAATGCTTTTGATTGCATCGCATAATGAGTGTATTCAGCAGAAAGTTTGCATATTGACTTTGCCTTCTGTTTATAATTAATGCTGATTATATCTCTAAATAACTACGCCATTGTTAGATTTTCGTTATAAATTAAAGAGACCTCTTCCCTTCTTTTCGGATGTTAAAATCAAGTTTTCTTTAATATTCGGTTTTCGATCGGTAATATAGCTTCGATGTGTCCCGTGTCAAATGTACTCTTCGTTGTTAGTTAGTACTTTTATTAAACTCTACTCTAGAAATTCTTAGTAGAAAATTTCTCACTGTGATTATTCTTTGTATACAATATTCTCGTTGTGATAACAGTTATTTTTCATTCCCTAAGGTTCTGAAAACATAAGTAATGAGTTTTTAATACAACCGTTTTTTAATCACTTGATTTGGGAAAAAAAAGTTGAGATGCATACAGGAAAATTTGTTTTTCACTTCTCTTCAGATCAATTCGAGATACACTCAGTATTTTAATCTTGTTTTTCTAATGGAAGAAGATTAAAAGAAACCAACAACAATAGGCACCGAAAACAATGTCTAGTATCTGCTGAGAAAATTTCAGCCCTAAGGGTCTCAATGCTACTAAGGAAGTGGGACGATTTTTAATCTTTACGACCTAGATATTTTAGAACAGAAAGCATTTGGCAATCTGTAGTCCATGACAAATTTTACTCTACTCATTGAGATCTATCTATTCTGTAAGTTTCAAATATGAGCCATTCTTCAGAAATCTCGCAAAGTGAAGTCTCCTTCAAAAGCGATTAAAATATTCTATCATTTCAGTATAAATAGTTAATATTAGAAAAGGAGCGAATATCCACAGCGAAAAAACAAAAACTGGATTATAGCTTTTATGCACATTGATAAATGTCTGGAAAACGAGAAAGAAGGAAAAAATGTATGACGCTGAATCTGCACAATACTTGCGACCATAATAGAGGATAGGTGGGATGATTAAAAATGACGTAGGAGAAACACTACAAGGTTAGACTAACTGTGAATATATAATATCCTACCTAACTAAACCTAACTCGTGCTGTTTAACCTTTTATGTAGGCTAGAATGATAGAAAATGAATCCTGTCTTATGGACATTTCACTAACAATTGCAGATTCTCTAATATAATGCGCTGTATTGAATCAGATATATGTCTGTATGTAAAGCTTGATGAGGCTAGAAGAAGCCTACAAGAGTTTATCTTCGTATCCTCTTGCTCTAGGACTTTAACCATTTGACCAATTTTTTTGTCTCAGATACAGCATACATGAAAAAAATTAATTCAATGGAATTGCGCTCATAAATAGCTCTTATTACAGTCAGAATATTTTAAAAGCTTCAATTCCAACGAACGTTTCTTTCTTGAGATATTGAATATGCATAATAAAATTATATGTCGCAAGGAAAGATCAAAAAGCAACTGTCATCAATATTCGATATGTCAAGAAGAAATGATTCTTTCGGGCTAAAAGTTTTATGACATTCAAACAATTGTGACAGCTGCTTATGTATGAAGTTTCCAGTCGAAATTTCAGAAGTTCAATTTTTCGTGAATATTTTGTTCACAGCCGAAAAGAGACTGAAACGGTGCGTTAGAATTATGATAGATCCTCTAGAAACAAGAACGACGCTAAATCAAACGAATACATTTCTGCCATTCCGTAAAAAGTAGAACAATTCACGTATTCATCAAGGAACCTCTCCAGATGTCAAACCATTTTTCGATCTAGACGATCTTTACTTGATGAATATTAGTGAGAAATAGAAAAGTCCAGAATCTTATGTCATGTAGAAAATCGACTTTCGGCTTCAAACTTTGCACTTACCAAGTTCTTAATAAGATGGCTTAGTTGTGCTAGTTTTAGCTTTTATATTCCTTCCTTTCTAGAAACAACCCAAATCTACTGTTACACATGAGAAAATTTCGAATATTCCATACCTCAGGATAGAATATACTAGAAGAAGTACAACCGGTCCGATGAATTCATCTCATTGAGAGATTTTTTTTCATGCAAAATCGGAAGTCGAAAGTTGATTTTTTATGTGACCACAGCTTTCTATTGAAAACCCAGTAAAAATTAGATGTCTGAAGGACAAAAAGCTCCGAAAACCAAACCGTTCTAGACCTTTTTTATTTCTCAGTAGCACTTATCAACTAAATAGTGTCTCAGTCGACAAGCGATTTGACACCTGGAGAAATCCTTTCATCAATATGTTGATGATCTGTGGCTATATGATAAGCGACTCTAAAGCAAGAAGTATGATCGACGGCTACCTAAAACGTCTGTATTTTCTTTTTATGTCTTTGAAGGAAGAAATTTTTGGACGAATTTTTTATTTCAACTTGTTGAAGAAGTTCTAAACGTTCTCTAAGTGTATCATATATATTGAAGAGAAAACAGTAGAAATTATATTTTTTTTTTGTTTTTCTTTTTTAGTTCATCCTCTTTTGAGAATAATTTAACTTTCGCTGCATTACGTTTGCCTCCATTTATGTATTTAAATGATTCATCACAAACACATCTTGAAGAAGAAACATCCAATATAATTGATGCATTTTCTTCGACATTTTTATCTGATAATAAAAAAACTTCTAATGATGCAATTCATATTGATTATGAACAATATTCATTTGCTTTTTTACTTCATCGTTGGCCAAAATCTTTACTTGATAATTATTATACACAATCAATACGTAATTCCAAACGTAAATGGCCATCAAAATATCATTTAAATATCATAATAAAAAAACCACTTTTATTAATACCAATACCAAATAATCATAAATGGGAAATAAATTTTGATATAATTGAACAAAGTTTATTTGAATTAATGAATGAATCAACATTATGTTTTTATGCCTTATGTCAACAATTATTTTCTCAAACATTAACAATACGTACATGTATAAAACATTGTTTTCTAAATTATTGTGAAAAATATGGTTTACCTTTTTCAAAGTAAGCGTTTGATATTCTCATTAGTCAGAGTAGAAATTTCTAATTTGTTTGTTCACCATTCAGTATTCACATAAAGATAATAGCCGAGAGAGTATGACGATTTCTTCGAGAGATTAAAAAATATAATAATGTGATATCATGTTACTTACTTTAGTTCTTTATTAGTGAGAAAATTGGAAAAAGAATATTCATCGAGATCTAGATATGAAGTTAATTTTGTTATTGATGAATTTTTACATCTTTTCATATAAACAAAAATACGGAAAACTGTATATTCACCAAAACACTATCTCAGAAAGCATCACTAAGATATGATCATCCTTTAGCTGAATTTTTAGATTAACCGTTTGATCAAAAGCAAAAATTTTCGGATTAAAACTTCGAAAATACGAGTTTTTGAAAATCTAGACCATCTAGACAAAGTTTGATACATTAGTCAAATATTAATAGAAACTTAAATCCTTTCAGGGTCCTTATTAGAGTACCACAAAGTATCTATACGCAAAAACTTCTTGAAATCGGAAAAGGAAGCTGAAGAAATTCCTCTGGTTTATTTTCACAGTTTAATAATCTATTATAAAACTCAGCTATTTTCTTGAAATAGACCTTCCACGACGGAAAAAATAGGTGTAAATCTAAAATCACCGTAGTTTCATTATGCATTCACCATCATTACTGTTATTGAGTACGTGTATGTCTAGATCAGCACAATGCTTTAATCAAGACTGACGCATTGGTCTACAAGGCTATCGATGATCACCGTTACCGTGGCATCCGTAATACGATTAATGTATCATCATTTCTGCATTTCGCTTTATAGATTCGTAATTTATCCTATTTTTACTAATACATCCTTCTCGTAGAACCTGTCAGATCTAAAATTTTTGAACTTTGAATCGATCGAGTTCGGGACAAACCAGACAGGCTCTACTCATTACGTTGAAATTTTTGTATCACTCCTCATACTCTCTGAGCCTTCTGTTCGACAACTTAAGGTTAATCGCTTGCAGCTCTGTAGTCATATTCTTACTAAATGCTACAGTAACACATCAATTCTTTTTTCTCTATTTAATCATTAATGTTTTCTCTTCATTTTTTTAGTAATCATGAGCATACAACTAATAACATTTTTGAATTAATGTCACATTTTTTAAAAGAAATTCATTTACAAATCAATGAAAAATTTTTTCCCAATTATTTTAATCATGAAATAAATCTCTATGAAACAAATGAAACTTATAATCAATGGTTTGATTATATAAATAAATGTTTAAATGATCGTACTTATATACCAACATCATTATTAACAATATCAAATCGTCCAATAATTGTTGAATTTTTATTTCATTTTATTGATCAATTATATCAAACATTTCATATAAAACGTTCACAATTTCATTTAAATGAAAATGTTCTTATTGATTTACATAAACAATTATGTGAAAAATTATCAAATGATACAAATAATAATAGTACATCATTACAAAAATTTATTAATCATTTATTAAATAATCAACAAATTCTTGAACATATACAAATGAATTTAACATATGATTTTGAAACAAATGCTGAATTAGTGCATACATGTTTAAATCAAGTTCGAAAAGCAGATTCATCATTAATATTTCATTATACATGGACTATATATATCCAATATTTACATACATATTACAATGTATTATGGAATATTTAAAAAATAAATAAACATTAACTCGTCAGATAATTTTTTTTTACGATTTTTTTCCCGGTGATCGTTGAGATTTCTCTCTTTTTTTTTGCGTATATGCATTATCGCTTCTGTCTTCTTACTTATTCTATATATTCTCGTTTTTCTTTTTGCCTCTTATTTTACTTGCGTGCCAATGGAGAAAACAACGCATGAGAATGTACGATTAGTTATATATGTAGATAGATATATTCTTCTTCTTTTTTTTGTTGTTGTTGTTCTCGATCTTTCATACTTATTTGTTCAACTTTAGATGATGATAAATAAAGAGAATGATCTGAAGTGGATTTAGTAAAGTTGAATAAAGAATAAAAATAAAATCAATTAAAAAAATTTATTTTCTTCAAATGAAACAAATAGATTTCGAATAGTTTGAATTATATTGAAATCTACTCTTGTTTCGTATAGAAATTCATTTATTTTTCATAATGAAGTAAAAACTGACCTGCTGAAGTTTGAACAATAGATTTTATTTACAAGAATGATGAAAAAGTTTTTAAAAAATAGCTTTCTTGAAATTATTTCTTTTATTGAACGAGCAATATTTTCATTCATGCAGTAATATATGTGATCTTGCTTATTTAGCGAATGAATCTGTAAACGATTTTAGACTATACAAAGATAATTATTTGTCAATGTTATACAGTAAAATCTGTCTACATGATTATCTTCGAATACGGGATAGTCTATTGTCCATTCAATCGAGTCTCGCTAGGGATGAACGCCTCGCATAGAGCTCCTCGGGTTCAAAATTTTCAGACTCGATCAACACAATTTTTAGATCGAACTCGACGGTTTCTACTCCTAAATATGAGCATTTATGCATTTTGAGCAGTCTGCTGATTGCTTATTTCTGCTCTAATGGGTAATGACAACCTCTCCACTGTGAACAACATGTGTTCTATCAGTCATGCACAGGACGAGAAAAAAAAACGATGTGATGTGGATTGAGTGTTAATAGACGATCATAGGTACATATAAAAAGTAGATGGACTAAGTATGCATATTAAGAAGAGAAAAAAAGTAATATTAGACAACAGCGACATTGCTTGATGTAACATATGGTCGGTTTCTTATGTCAACAGCTACGCAGTTACATCGAATAATGTCAATACGTATTGATTTACTTTTGATTGAAAAAATTTAATCGATAAACCGTTGACAGGAAAATAAAAAAAATTACATTGTACAACCAAAAAGCGATTGTGACCGAATACTAATAGACCAGAAAAAATGAAATTGAAAGCTTATCACTAATAATCATCTCCGCGATGGGAACATTTATGAATGGTTTCTAATACTAACTGAAAGGCACAATTAATACAATAATACTATGTTTTTTCACTACATTATAATCATATGGATGGTAATTTATCGTATTTCGATTTTTATTTTTTACCCTTTATGATTTTGTTGATTGTAAAAAAATTCTCGATAACATTTCTTCATGTTAATCTTCGAGAGTTTCGTTTTTTTTTCTCATCATATAAATAATTTTATTCTAAAGTTATTCATTAAAATGAAAATTTTGCAAATTCACTAGACAAGAATTTTATTATTGGTATTGATCTACGACGATGTATAGACAAATTTTATATCACGAAATGCTTTGCATTGTAAGAACAGATAGATAGGCCATCGTTTTTCGATCGCAATAATAGAAAAAGAAAAGAGATACATTAGCACAAAGAATTAAAACAAAAATGAAAAAGGAAGAAAAAAACAAGAAGAAATAGACGAGCATAAAAGAAAGACATTGGAGTGAGATAAAATAATAAAAAAAAAAAGAAACAGAAGAATTCGTTTTAATCATTTTTAATGATACGTGTTCATTTTTTTTAAAATTTTGTTCGTTTTGTTTATACTGCAATTAACCACTAACACCATATTGAGGCATTGTTTGATATTGTACATTTTGTACAAAACCGTTGCCATGTTGACCTTGTTGTTCAAAACCTTGTTGTTCAGCTAGAAATATATATTCCAATATTTAAAATATCGACTATGAAATATAATTTCACTCACCGGCATATTGTTGACCTTCAACAGTACTACCATTTGAATATGCTGCTTGTTGATAAATGTATCCACCTTGTTGTTCACCAGGAACTTGATCAACACCATTTGCAACTCCATTACCATATGCTGCATATTGAACATTGTCTTGTATAAATCCAGCTTGTCCATTAGCAGTTAATGAACCATTTGATGCACTAGCAAGTAGACCTGGATCACCAGCAATATCATATCCACCTATAGGACCAGCAGCACCAGCTAATAATGCCGGATCAACTTGATCAGGATTAGACATAGTTGTCTAAAAATAAAGATAAAACAAAAATTGTTTGTGTTTGTTAGTTGATTAAAAGAAAATTTTCATACATATTCTGGTCCAAGATTAGGTGCAGGTAATCCTTTAATAAAGTCTGGTAAACCTTGTGTAGGTCGTAATTGTGAACCATATTGTTGTACATATGTGCTTGGATCAGCTTTGATAATTCCCAAATTACGAAATTCTTTGACAACACGAGCTTGTGTACCTTCCCATTGAATAATAAGATTTTTTTGAGCTGGTGAAGGTTGTACTGGTGGTGCTTTTTGATAGATAACACGTCGTTTTTGTTGTTTATATGGAAGCCAACGTTCGACAATAATACTAGAAGAAATCACTCTTTTTAATAGAAAAAGAAAACAAAATTAACAACTAACCTTTGAGGTTTAGGAGGTAATGGTGGCATTCGTTCAATGATGACACGTCGTGGTGGTGGTGGAGGAGGTGGCAATGGTTTTGTAATCAATTTAGGTGCAAGTTGAGGTGGTGGTTGCGGTGGTCGTTCTCGAATGATGAGTGGAGGCGGTGTAGCTGGTCGTGGTGGTCGTTGTCGAATAACAATAGGTGGAGCAGCAGGTAATGCGGGATTACGTACCTAATAAGAATAACAAATTCTTTTTGTTTTTTGTTTCTTTATTCTAATCTCTAAAGTATCTTTTCGTTTACCTCTTTGATAATTAAAGGACCAGGTGGTGGCGGTGTTGGTGGACGTAAATATCGTACAGCAACTTCTTGCTTGTATGTAACAGCATCATTGGCATGTTTTCGAATAATTTGTGGATTAGGATCAAAATTGATTTTATAACCATTTTGTCCTTGTTGTTGTGCAAGTTGACCAGCAGCACCTACATATTGTTGAACAATACCACCATTATTTTGTTCTAGAAAACCAACACCACCAACTTGTTGTTCATTGGCAAGTTCAGCTCCACTACGTGTGTATTGAGCATAATTAATTTCTTGACCTTGATGAAGAGCTGCTTGTTGATCACCATTTTCTTGCATTACTTGTTGTTGATCAATACCATTCGCTTCACCATAATATTGATGACCACCTGGACTTGTTGCTTGAGCTTGATAACTATACTGATGTTGAACATATTGTTGTTCTGGATTTCCAGGTGATGTTGATGATGGATATGCTGCAGCAACAGTATCAGCCATAATAGTTTTAATGTTCGCTCGGGGTTATTTTTTGTTACTTAGTTTTTTTGATCAAATTAATGTGAATATATGTACGTATTGATGTACCTTTTGTGTCACAGATTCAATAGCAAAAGAGATGTAAGGATGGTCACCGAGAGAAAAGAAAGAAAAAAAAAGAAGATTCACTATTTCATCGTATTTTTTTGTGATTAGTGATGCGCAACTCGAGTTTCATCGGTCATTTGATTACTATATAGATATTTTCTTTTGATTCATTGACTATATTTCTCGCGATCGTCGTGCTTGACTTACTTTCACAATCAATAGGCGAATAAATGAGTTCGTACTCATTTTTTATAAACATGTTCATTTCATCGTCCATCGATCGATCATCTAGTCTCTAATCGTCGATGCGTAAACTCTCTTTCACTATTGGTAGTGCAATGAAAAATACGTGATACATATATAGAAAGTATCTACTCGCTTTCTCTCTTTTTTCAAGTGTACATGTCATTTATAATTGTTCAAATATATATGCAAGTAATGACTCTGATTATATGATTAACAACGTTATTTTGATGTTGTTTTGACACTAATAGAATGTGAATCGAAATGTAGAAGTTTATATAAACTAAGAGAAAAGGATCTACATATAAACGCATATGTATATCATGAACATTCATTCTATATATATGAAAAATAGATATGCTTTGATTTTTGGACATTTTTTTTATTTGAGAATTTCCTCCATGTTCTCCTTTTTTTGTTCAACGTAATAATCATGTCATGTATGCATTTTATGAGAGTCTTCATCGTTGTACTTGTTGTTGTTTCCAAGCTGGTACATCTTTGAGTGAACGATATCTAGTTAGAGGTGAACATAGTTCATTTATATCATTTCGATTTGGTCGACAAAACCATTTTGGCAAACTACGAAATCGAAAATGCACATAGCAGCAATTTCCTTCGCCACAATCTTCATGAAATTGACAATGATCCCATTCTTAAGAATATAAAAGAAAAAAAAAGAATCTGATTTATATATTTATATACATGTATATTGATTATAGTTACCCATGTTTTTTCTTTCAGAACTCTGTTTTGAGTTTGGTGCTTTATAGAATGGCAATGCGGGTTTACTAATTCCATAGGGATAGAGTTGATTGCTTGGATTATAATAAGGTGGAATGATAAAATCTTCCAAATTACGTTTCGAGGGCGAATTGAATATGGATGGTAAACATAGATTGTTTTCTATTTTTTTACATAAAGAAAATTAAAATAAATAAATGATAAAACGATGATCATACTTTGAGTTGAATAACAAATTAAATCTGAACAACAATCACTATTTACTTGACAATTCTCGCCTATAGTTTTACATTGTTGTATTTGTTCATTTTGAAAAATAATATTCTTTGGATTATTATGAATTGTTGCCAAACATAAATTTGAAATTAAAAATAAAATACAAGAAGTAATGAGTAACCACATGAGGATAAAAATACTGTTGCCAAGAAAAAAAAAATCTTTTTATAAGAGGAATTTCAGTAATAATAGAATAGAGTGTTGTCTTCCGATGATAGCAGTTGAACACTACATAAAAAATGAATAAAAAATAACATGAAATAACGGGAAATATAAATAGTGGATTTTCTTTGTTTTTCTTTTTTCTATATTCATACATATCCGGTGATGAGGAAATGATCATTTTTTTCGTTTATCTACATTGATACAGCAATAATAGAAGTTAGTCTATGACGATTATGAGTTTGATAGCTGACTCTTGATTTATATTATTTGCATTTATAAATCAGAACAAACGTTAAGAAGTATAATGTCTCAATGTCTATGTAGTAGTTAAGTATAAGAAAAGTAGAACATGAAATTAATCATTTTTATATCACCCATAGCAATAAGAAAACGCCTGCGTAAATCTATATGGTAAAAAGCATATACGTGTAAAACAAAATATGTTACTTTTCTATGTCTATATTCTCAGTGCGCCGATCATTTGTGCTTGTTAGTGCATGAGTACTATCAAATCGAATCAAGTATAATGTATAGAAGAAGAAGAAGAAGAAGAAGAAGAAGAAGAAGAGGAAGAGGAAGATGAGAAAGCAAATCTAATTTCTTGTTTTTCCATAGATTGAACAGAAAAAGTAATGTCTGTGTCAAACTCGTACAATATATTAGTGAACAATTGTGCATATTTTTTTATTTTTTACAAATTGAATCTGAATAGAATTATATATTCAATGACGTCAATATGAAATAATCATCTAAGAGACAGTATAGAAAAAATCTCATCAAGATGACGAATTCACTATGTTTTATTTAAATAATTGAAATACTACCTACAAACTTTACGTTTCTTATTCACATATAGAGTTAATGCCGCAAGAAAAATAACATGAAATATAGGCAACATTCTACTAGTAGGCTCTCATCTCATTATTTCATGTCTTCAAATAGACATGCCAGATTTGTTTTATGCAGAATACTCGTTAAGTATAAAAAGCATTATATATTTTAAAAATAATCATTGTAAAAGTGGCATACCAATAAAGAAGAAAATCAAATTCTATTTGAATCGATAGTGAAAAAAATAATAGTGAATATAACGTTGAACCAATGTCATAAATGGATTGCCTATGCACGCTTATTTAACCATTAATTTAATTTACTCCATAAGACTTGTCATCATCTTCTATGTTATATTTCTTTTCTTTTTCTCTTTGGTTCCTTTTTTCTATTCCCATTTAGTAACTTTTTTTTCTTTTCCATTACATTGTAATGTATTTGATGGAGACATATTATCGATAAAATTTTGTCGAATGCCGACATCCTTTTCCGTCAATTTTTTTCCAACGATAGTGTCCTTCAAAGTATTAATAATAATAATATATAAAAAAAACTCTTCAATTAACTTTCATCAAGATAAGAAACAACTATTATTCAACTAATTGTTTTGGAATTCATAAATAATTATAGCTTTTAATAGTGATCATATATATATATAAGATTATTTTATTAATAAAGAAAAAAAAAAGAAAAGTTTATATGACTGTCTCATCGACCCGTAAATTGTTCATATTGGTGATTGTTGTACGTGTTGTTCAAATTACATATAATTATAGACGAGAGTAGGCGGAGAAGAACGATCGAAACACGACAACGACGACATACATACATACACATTTATCTATCTATTGCCACAATCCGTCACTCTTCTTAATGGGTTACGTAAATGCTGACACATACACTTGCACTACCTGTCATCCTTATGTCTATTGACATAAAACAATACGAAAGAAATTATGTAAAACAGTAGTCGTCGTCATCGGCTTCATCTTCGGTCGCATAAGTATATTGCTCGGTCTGGTTATACTTACCGAAGCTAATCAAACTGACGAAAAAAAAGAAAGAGAGATGAATGTTTACCGACAAAATGCCAGAAATCAGGTTCGTCGCATCACACACATATGATGCAATATATATATATATCTACCTATCTCTGTATATATACATATACATACGTATATATATATATATATACATATACATATTCCCTTTATGTATTGTAGTGTAGATGCAAGCCGATTGAAGGATGTAACAATTTGTAATTTACTTAACTTATTTTACTCATGAATTCTCTGGTACTAGAAAAACAACTTCCGTAAGTCACTTATTTGTATTAATTGAAACTCTTTCTTATGTTCGAATTTTTTAAAAGATCAAGTTCAACAGATCCAACTAAATTAGTTCATATATGTAGTCAATGTACACGTACATTTAAAGATATAAATAATTTTCGTGAACATTTATTTCAAGAACATGGTGAACTCGGTGTTAACGTTCGACAATGTCATCTTTGTTCATATGCAACTTTACTAAAATCAAAATATGATTGTCATATAGTGAGATTGTTTCTTCTCATTACATATTACTATTATTATTAATATCATTATTATTTATAGAGATGTCATTTGAATAATCGTGTGCTTCGATGTCAAAAATGTAATTATTCAACAATTAATATCAGGTTCGATAGTGTCTTATTTTTAAAATAAAATTTTTTGCATGGTAAAAAACATTATCAAAGTTCAAAATAATTATGAAAGTATTTTATCTAATCTTGATAATTATTTTTTTCTCTCATTATTAAATATTGATAGAATCATATATTTAATTCTCTTTAATTTTATTACAGACATATGTCGAAACATGAACGTCAACATAGTATATCTCATGTGGTTAACACGACCATATCAGAAGCAAAACGTGCTCGTGTTATAAATATGGATACTAATTATTCAACTGATATAAATAAAAATGAAAAGATCAAAGTAAATGATGAAAAGTCTAATTTTTCAACATGCTTTCTAACTGATAAAATTTTGATTCCTGACGAGAAAAAATTTGTTGAGTAAGTTTATTGTTTATCTAAAAATTGTCATTTTATATTTTATTTTTGGATTAGTGATTCACAAAATTCACGTTCAAATAGTAATTGTTCAACAGATGATTCAAATCATATGCCATGTTCACATCAAAATAGTCTTATTTCATTACGTACAAATGTTTGGACATTACTTCGAATGTTACTTCCTCAATTATCACTTTATCATCCTTCAACATTACTAATTGATTATGAATCAGATCATTCTATCGATCGACTTGTAGCTAATCTAATACAAATACCATCATTTTATAAACCATATCCATCTATATAAAATGTCTTTCGTTTACATTTTGTTGTTGTTTTACATTCACCCACATACACAGAAAAAAAAATACTAATTATCTTTATTGGGTTACACTTCACATTGTTACAGAAGCTTATCAATATATAAAATGAAAAATATGATTTCCTTTCGATGAAGTATATATTAACATTGATACTGTGAGTTAACTAAATTAGTACAAATTCACATCTAAATCAATGACAATTGTAACTAAAGAAATTCAGATAAAAATTTAATTTATACAGTTATTCTGAGTCAAAAAGATTTATTTTTCCCAAAATGTATATATTAGTTTTAACCATGAGTTGAAAGGTTTCAATTTGATTTAATAGAATTTGTAAATTTTCTGTATCTTGTATTTGATTTCATTATACATGAAATATAATACAATCGATTGGCATTATATATCTACACAATAAAGAATGTTTCATTAGACTTATTGGAGAAGACAAGAATACTTTTATGCTTTCTAATAATACTAATCGAACGAACAAGAGCTAAATTCTTGTGATTATTGAAAAGTTAACAGAATAATCTACTTGAATATCAAGAAATTTAATCATACTTCATAGAAACATAATACAGATCACCTAGACATGTTTATAAAACCTTTTCATTCGTATTTAATAGTCATAATAGAAAAGAACAAAGTCAATCTAATGAGAATGACCAGGATTTTTCAGTTTAAAAAATTCAACGTCATCGATATGAACTATTATTTGTGTACGATTCTCTTCAAAAATCATCTTCGATATGTATGTACGACAATTATCCAATAAACCTATTCAATAAAAACCTAATCAAATAATCAAAACAGTTAAAGAACGGGGATGCATAAGATTGCATTGAGGATCCTTTTGATTTTCGAGGTTCAATCTGATTGAATTATATAGAAAAGAAAAGATCGTGAATTTCTGCTCATTTCTATTGATCATAGCTACGAACGGGGTCTATCTTCAAGATATACTATAGGAGCAGTTAATTATTGATACTACCCAGCATTGTGTGCATTCGTTTGACAGAAAACAACTAGACAGCATTCAAGTTTCGCTTGATTGTGTCGAAGCTGCGAATGTCGATCAACAAAAACTTGATATCTCATAGAAAACGGATAATGTTTTCTACGATTGTTCGCACGACGCTTTTCTTACGCGATTCTAATGAATAATGTTAGTTGATTTATCTTTTCATTATCTATATGGTTTATTATTTATGGTCAGCTGCCTTTGTATCTGTAATGAACAAAATCAACTTATATAATAGACTAGTGACTAACTGTTAATACTGTCTTCATCTTAACTATTTCAAAACTAGAACAACAAGCAAGTTCACCAAAATATGAGGTCTTTATGAAGCAAAAGTCTTTAACTAATAATAGTCGACTTTTTAATGGACTCTGTACTGTATCCTGAGTGAATTAGCTAATGAAGATTTATTCATCTTTTATGTTCTGAAGAAAATTAGATTACAGAGCGTTTTCATAGCAAATACTTCAGTCATTTACTCATATATGCTGTTTCTCGATGATAGCCGTCCACTACTAATATCATATCAATCAATAGATCTGACGAGACCTATCAAACGATACTACCAAACGCATTAAAAGAAAGTGGCAAAATATGTCTCTTTTTGGATAGTTCTTATCAAAACCTATCAAATGGTGATGAACAATTTATATAAAAACATAAAGGTATATCTATTTTTTCAAAGTATTTGAAACAAAGGATCAGATAGAGTGACGATATG